GTTGTTGATCGCTGGAAAGCTGGGTGAGTTTGAAGCGCATTATGGTTATTGCTTGTGTCCAATGAAGTTAGTTTAGTCATGATGATTGATATTTAGGTTGTGACATAGAATCATTGAACGTTCCAGTGTTCACATTAGGGGTCAGGGGTTTAACTGCCTGGATCAGACTAAAGTTTTCTCAAGTACGTCACCGACCAGGAATGGGATGCAAATTTAAAAACAAAAAACATCCCTATAGGGTAGAGCACTACTTCGGATTAAACGCACATTTTCGGCATATGGAACAGAAACATCAAATATCAAGCTGAACATTGCATTAGGTCCTAAGTACCATTGATCGATCCTCTTCGTCGACTTTCTCTTTCGTTGATAACTTGGGCTTATCGATCTGTGTGCTGAAAATACCTGGAAATGTCTTTACATGGCCGTGGGGATACAAAGAGATGTCGACGAAGAGAATCTGTCAATGTTACTTAGGAACTAATGCAATGTTCAGCTTAATATATCAATGATGTCGACGTGATCATACGTTCGATACGATAGTGTACATAGTCCATAAGAACGCACAATATGAATATGTACATCTATTCTTCTCGAAAACAAAAGAAGCGCTCCTAGCGAATCCATCCACTCGGAACGGATTTGGAGTTAAGTTAGATTGTTATCAATATCTCATCAATTTGTAACCCTTAATCAAATCTAATGGTACGCATGGAAAGGTAAATTAATTAGGAAGTCATCTTGGATAGAAACATTTCAGTTTTTGAACAAACCCAATCGTAAGAAATAGGTAAAATGTGGGTTGCGCTTAGTATGACGGAAATTAAATCTTAACCCTACTTGCCAGACATCAACCTACTAGCTACATACTTCCGCAATAACCAAAAATGCTGGAGCCAAACAAACGTGTTGCGCCTCTTGTCTTGGAGTTTTTCAGACATAAACCGACCTGTGGGCGTGCACATAGATTGTTCGGCGTGCTGGAAAGTCTGATTGGAGGCTTGAGTCACAATAAAAATAATAATACGCAAACCTTCATTCATACACGTTTTGTAAACACACAAGGGAGGCGGGCACTTCCCGATTTTTTGGTGCGCCGTCATCGTTTCACACGAGAAATTGTCTTGCAGCACTGATAGCGTGATGGGTGCACTAATATCAATGCTAAATATTTAAATACCTTCTAGGAAACTGCGAAATATATTTACCACAAACCACCATCATATTAAATTGAACCACCAAATTAAATTATGGCTGCTTACAATAAGCATTGCGCAACTGTTGACTTTACACCAAATTAAGGCAGTATTTTTATTCAATTACTAACTTTTACGCGTGAAAATAGTATATCGTACATAATATTCATGAGACGCAAATTGTGGCAAATTGTAACAAAGCGGTCTACATCTGATTGACGGTAATAAATAAATAAAACCTTTTTGTGGTACACTGAACCAAAACATCCGCAATAGTTCGAATGATTATTGCATTGCTCGAGCCCTTTAACAATATGCAATCGAATTTCGGATGATTTTCTTATGGTTGAATTCGTCGTCCGATGATGAACATCCATATGACTGTCATCCAAATACAGGATGACTTTCGTTTGAAAATTAGCTATAAAATATACGACACTCAGAGGACAAACATTTAAGAATAGTGTGACATGCAAGTGCTTTAAATTAGATTATCTTCAATTCCATCCTGAATAGCCATAATAAGCCATTCCATTATGGATACAACAAATTTTCGTGGTGGAGAAAACCTCCTTCACCACGAATTAGCTAAACATTGGTTTTCATCCTTTACCTATGTTAGTAACTGCTCTGATAGCGATGCATATGCTTCCACCTCGTTTGTCAGCTCAGATCAGCAAATGACGTTCGAAAGAATTATTTACATCATCGTTTTGAATGATTTGCGTTATGGGGCTGAACCAATACCATATGCATTTCAATTTAGTATCACAGTCATTCTGCTAAGAGCATTACGCATTTCAACTGAAGGCCCTATCCCTTCTCATAACAAGTTTCATCCAAGGTTGCAAAGACTCATTTCAGCTAAAACAATGTTTTTCTAAATTATGAAATAATTAGATGCCATGATCAAATTTTGAATTGGTAGGATACAAGAAGAGGTTGCAAAGAATGTGTTTGACATATTAAACCTATTTATTTCACTTCATGAGAGTCACAATCAGCGATTTTTCACAAACTCACTCACTCACTCACTCACTCACTCAAAGATCAGCAAATCGCTGATTGTGACTCATAGAAAGCAAAATTTACAGGTTTTATGTTTCCAACGCATACTTTGTAACCTCTTCTTGTAAGTTACAAGTAAAACATGCCATCATACCATCTTTTGGGTTTATTATTCCGAAAAACATTATTTTAGCTGAAATGAGTCTTTGCAACCTTGGTTTCATCCTGTATTCGAGAGGAAAATCATCTGATTTCAAAACAACCGTCATCCGGTTGCAGCTATCATTCGAAAAAGCGATTTCGGTGTTTTGTTTTGAATGGTCTGAGGTTTCATTCAATCAGATGATGATGTTTGTGTACAGTGTAGCTGTGATTAGAGCTCTACATTTTCGAAGCTCTAAAATGAACTCGAGTTTTGTGTCTTTCATGCAACGTGTTTATGGCCTGTTTACATATGTCCGGACCTAAGAGATGAACTAGCCTATGGCTAAAAATCTCTATAATAAAGAAAAAAAAAAAATATGTCCGGACGACTTCAAGATTTGGGCGTATGTTTTTGTAAACAAACACGTCAATCGCCGATTTCTCGCGAATAAAAGCTCAAATTCATTCTGGTAGTTGATCTATCTGTTAAGATTGTGTTCATTTTCAGCTGAGTTGAGTGTAGAAGCTGAGTACTTCGAACCCAGTCGATTTTATTTTTCAAGTGAGCTAGAAAACATCTTGAAAATCTTCCGAAGTTTCAAATTGTTTTGCTGAAACAGCTCACGAAATTGTATATACATGCTGTTAAATGAACTCTTGGCTCCTCCTCCTCTGCTCCAGAAATAACATATACATGGTGATGGGAGTGCACTTGCCCACAAATTTCACATGACTCTTATAAAGTTTGTTTACATTCTTGTTGCAGCAATCCAGTTTTGACATTATTAATATCAAATAAAAACACTTTTTCGAGCATCACGCTTAATGATTTACATTATCCGCCTACTAAGGTTGATGTTTCGACAGATTCATAATTATAATTCTTAATTTGTTTTCAGTAGGTGCAACACCTTTACTTGTGGTTCAAACAGTAACTACCTACGTGACTTCTGAGCTCTTTTGAATGTTTGGCACCCGTTTGACAGTTTGACTCGGCTCCCAGATGACAAGCATTTTGAGTTAGTTCGCAGTACTCAGTGTAGAAGGAATGCCGGCGCCGGTGGTGTTGTGGTAAGCGTGACTGCTTTCTAACACCCCGATGGGTCTGGGTTCAATCCCAGCCGAGGTCGGTGGGATTTTTCTGAGGCATAAAAATCTCTGGTCACGTCTTCCTTCGGAAGGGAAGTAAAGCCGTTGGTCCCGGCCCATGTGTGTTGAATGGGTGCGATATCCTACGCAGGTGTGGAAGCTGCCTTCCTGCACATTCGATTTCCGTCAATGGATGGCAATCGATGTCCGTCGGTGATTGGCACTAGATTGCGGAACAGAGACCGACGTTAAATAAAGGAAAGAAGAAGAAGAAGTGTAGAAGGAATGATTTTTATCAGCTGACTGTTATGATTAACTTTTCCCCGATTTTTCACTCTGACTTTGCGCTGACAGTTAGAACGATTGCATTAACACCATCATACTGACTCGACCCCGGATCCATTTTCGTTCGTTTATTGTCACGGTCGACTCTGACCCAGGTTTAAAAACGAAAATGACGTAAGCTCCTTAATAGAATTGACCCCCAAAAGTTCCTTGCTAGTTTTTGTCAACATTACGTTGTATTTGTCGTCAGCAACTATTCATTATGGCGAGTACATGTAAACGAACCGGTAGCGGCCGCCGAAAGTGATCACTTTAAAGTTCCATTAGGCGCGTGCGATGTTGTCGTTGCACTATTTGAAGCCTTTTGGGCACGTTTCCCAACAGCCGGTAAATAATGATAACACAGTGGATATTGGCAACGTGTGCTATGAAGGGACCATTTCCGTGGTGCAGTAAAAAAAAATGAGGTAGAAGAATGTAGGGGCAGAGGAATCCGTTTTTCGTTTCTTTCAATTGAACGTGTCGCACTGCAAATAAAATCGATTGACGCAAGTTGTGGCTATTCTGCCAATATCCTCACGTGATACTTAATGCATTTTCCATTCGTCGTCTTCCTATTGACACGTTCTTACCCGGGTGGGGATTGGATGGAGAACGACTGGCTAAAAATATACCTCGATGCACAGAGCGGAATAGAAATTGCCTAATTTTGAGTCTTTTTTGAATGGGTGGGTGGAGAAATCAGTCGGATTTTCGAGAGCTCTGTAGTGGAACGTTCCCTCCCATCGGTATTCCAGACAGGATCATGTTTTTTTTTTGTTTCCCGCGAACGTCATTGCTATCGGTTGTTGATCGAAGAAAGAATCGCGAGTTGTTGTCAAGTGACAGACAGCTGGGAAACTGGGCAACTAATTGATATGCTTGGGACGCTAAGGAAACAAATTGATAATTTACGATCATATGATATTTAACATACCATTTGTTGACCGGTGCTTACTGTACAGTGAATTTTGTTACCTCTATAAAGTGCTTCACTTGACGGGGACTGTAGTAGAATGAGATAGACGTAATTAGAGCAAGACGCAGAACCACGCTAGACACACAAAAAACATGATAGTTAAGTGTTCATCTGGGAAATCAGACTGCTGACCGTTACCGCAAAACATTAAGCCCTTAACTACTGTCGACCGTAATGAATGGATCAGCTCTCGAGATAAAATCCGTTTCGATGCAGTAAACAACCCTTCTTAATTGCCAACTTGTTTTCACTTTTTGCAGCCTTTATCTTGGGAATGTTTGGTGCGTTTGGAATTACGGCCGGAGCACATCGACTGTGGTCACACCGTTCGTACAAGGCCAAGTGGCCGCTGCGGCTAATACTGATGATTTCGCAGACGTTGGCCTTCCAGAACAGCATCTACGAATGGGTGCGGGATCATCGAGTCCACCACAAGTTTACCGACACGGATGCCGACCCGCACAACGCCAAGCGTGGATTCTTCTTCTCCCACATCGGCTGGCTGATGATGAAGAAACATCCCGATGTCAAGGAGAAGGGTAAAATGGTAGACATGACCGACCTGGATTCGGATCCCATCGTGATCTTCCAGAAGAAGTGAGTATTATCAATCTCAACGAAAACTGTAGCGATCACTCAAATCTTTAATCACACACCCGCAGATATTATGCCGTTCTGATGCCAGTATTCTGCTTCGTCATTCCAACGTTTTTGGCCTATAACTACTTGGGCGAGACGTTTTCCAACTCGTGGTACATTGTGGCGATCTTCCGCTACGTGCTCTCGCTTAATGGAACCTGGTTGGTGAACAGTGCGGCTCACATTTGGGGAACCAAGCCCTACGACAGGTTGGTATTTTATTTAAGCTCGCAATGCCAAACAACAACTAAACATTTTATTTGTAGAAAAATTTCCCCAACAAACAACACATTCGTGGGGATTGCCGCAGTCGGTGAGGGCTGGCACAACTACCATCATGTGTTTCCCTGGGACTACAAGACGTCCGAGCTGGGCAAATACAGCACCAACTTCACGACGGCGGTGATCGATTTCTTCGCCAAGATCGGCTGGGCGTACGATCTGAAATCGGTGTCGGATGACATGATCAAGAAGCGAGTCCTGCGGACGGGTGACGGAACGCACCCGTACAGCGAGGAACGGCTCCGGGAGAAGATGGTCGACTTCATCAACAATCTGGATCATGAACAGGAGAATGTCGTGTGGGGTTGGGACGATCACGATATGGCCGAAGACGACCGAAGGGATGCGACCGTCAGTAACAAAAAGGACTAGAAGTGCGCAACACCAGACACGGAAACAGCCAGGTGCGGTTTCACGGACTGCTGGAGGTTATTTAATTTGGGTCAATGTTATGGACTTCCTTTGATCGATGATGGATTTCTCTTGTGTAGCTAGCCAGTAGTGTTCTACCTGGGATGCGCCGTAGGCATGCCAACCAATGGGGGGAGTTGCTAGTAATCGCACAACGAGGAAGAAACTGTAGCTCAAGTGAATTGTTTAATTTATTCTTTAGTTCTTCTTCTTGCGTGATGTAAGAAATCATAGTACTAAGAGAATCATACGGATACAGTAGTGTAGGTGTCGAACGATGTAGAATGAATAAATGCAGAATTAATGAATAATATGTTGGCAGAGTTTTCGATTCCTTGGTTGAAAGAAAAGTTTCGGGAGTAAATTACTCATGTATGTATGCTCAAATCATGCACTGAATCAATCTTTTTAATGATGTTTATTTGAAAACTTGGGTGCTCTTTTCGTTGCCACCTTGCAATTGAATCACAAAATGTATAATGTAAATAGATACAGAGACCGCACTTTTAACAGCCAGTGTAAAGTTAAGTATTGACATTACAGTATTGCAAAAGCCATCAGGGTAACTTGTAACAAGACGTCATTTTCAAGGGGGTGTCGCTCTACACACTTAGTTTGCGCCAACATTTTTCTCAGTGCGTCTCAGTGTGCCGCAGCTGTACCGGCAGTGCCAAGAAGTCATTGAACTGACTTGTGTTTGCTTGTGAATAATGCCTTGTTTGGCAACCCGGTATTTTACCAGCTCTTGTTTTTGTTTTGTTTTTCAATGTTTTTAAAAACCACACGGACTCCAGTTGGGACTACACACTGGATGCATCTGTCTCTCCAAGGATGCCTGCAATGGACGAGCTCCGTTGCTACACGATCCTACCATCTTCGGCGGAAGGCCGACCCCGTAAAACGAACGTCAATCATTAGTCAACCAACCCTTCTGGTAGCCGGCGGAGGAAACGGATTTGCACCGAATTTTTCACCGCCCGAACATCCGTCGGAAAACTGGAAACCAACACCGGCCGGAACACACGTCGGACTGATGAAGAACGCACTGCTGACCCGAAACGGACCAGCCTACTTCATTCAAGCGGCACAGCAACAGGGTGCGGTGATGATGGTCTACGGACTCGATAACAACACAACCAACACCGATAAGCTGTTCAATCTGTTCTGACTGTATGGAAATGTTGTCAGGATAATATTCCTGAAGACCAAAGAGCATACCGCCATGGGAGACGTCATCCGAACCGAACCAGTCGAACGCAGCATCACTTCTTCAATACCCCACCCGTATGTCGTATCATGAAATGCAACCACAGCGCGATCGATCACAAATGCAAAAATTCCCGTTCATTATGAATTCCCGTTCCTCCTCCAAGAAGATGAACGGTGCGTGGAGCAACGAGAACATCGAAAACACGTTAACTTTGAAAGAGCGGAAGCTTCTTTTTCTGAGAAAAGAAAGGATTATCCTTTTTCTGTGTAGTTAATGTTATGATTTGTAATTATAATGTCTTATTGTGTTAGTTGGAAGTGCAAAAAGGCAGTTGTTGAACTATTTGAGATTTTGCCAAGACGGTCCTCCAATATTATATGTTGGACGAAGGAATGGTTGGTGTAGCAGCCACTGCCATGGATGTATTCGAGCAGTTCGAATTGATCAGTTCACGAAGATTTGCCGCACTCTTCTCTCACCCGTAAGTTTTGACAGTTTTGGGTGGTTTGTTTTGGCTCCCATTCGTTGCTATCTCTTTTACTCAGAAGCAAAATGATAGGGAGCAAAAAGTGAGGTTAGAGACCGTGCACTGATCTATGGTCGGATGGTACAGTTTTTGTTTGGTTGTTGACTTTCCGATTAAAACTCAAGCACCGCTTGTCGTGACCGGCCCGAGATTTCCAGCGTCGGCCACGGCTACACGAATTAGCGATGCAGCTCCCACGATTGCGGCTGCTTCCAATGCTGCTGCTGCTTCAGTTGTTGCTGCTGCTGTTCCTTCTCCTCTAAAATTCGAAAAAAAAATACGGACCAGCAGCAGCATTGGAAGCAACCGCAGCCGTGGGAGCTGAATCGCTAGTTCGTGTAGCCATGGTCGGAAACCTCGGTCAGGTCAAGATACCGCTGTCAGCTGTTCTTCGTCTGGGAGGAAATGTGGATGCGACTGCCGTCACGGGTGTAACGATTTTGAGAATCCATGGCGAGACTTGGTGGAGATTCACGGTTGTTTTGAAAATAATTTTATTATATTGTGGCAATATCAATAACAAATTTTGACACATGCACACTGCGCAGGCGCAGAAAAAGTTCAGTGTTGCCAGTAACTTTAAAGATCATATAAATTGTAACCATGGGTGCCAAACAGCGCCAATGACTGCGCCCGGGTGTGCCCAAGTTTGATTTTGGCACACTGTGTAGAGTGACCAACCCCTTAGTCATTTCCTAATTGATCGCATTAGGCAGCCTGTCATGTCATTTTAAATTTAAATTTTTTAAATTGACGTTTTCCTGGAGACTATAAACGTTAAGAAGATTGTTTATTTTTGAGTAATTATCATCATAGCCTATAAAACTTTCGCTTAGTCTGTGATCAGCTGAGATAAATTTTGTCTTGTGTGACAAAAATCTGATTTACCCAAGAATGTGAAAGCTTGTGTTCAATACTATCTTAGAACAAGAAACCCAGTTTAAGTGATATTTTAGAGCACTCGCACCAACGCGTTGCTAAAGCTATTTTAGCAACCTCCACCTAACACAACAACTGGGGGTTACTATTCAAGTGCTGGAAATAACAATCTGTCTCAGTCAGAATGGGGTACGTTAATCGGTTTGCTTGGGACCAATAGGCTAGTCAAGTAGTGAGCCAATTTAAAATCGTTAGTTTCCACCGGTTGGTAGCACTGTAGTTCACCTGGTGGGTTCGACCCTAGAAAGTCCTGAAGAATTATATCCACCGTTCTCACTTACCCCGGATTCTCTCTTGCCCCGTTGTACCTTACAACAGTCTGTGACCCTCTATGCCTGCGGGTATTGTATTGCAACTCGATGATTCAGTTGAATGAGACAGATTTGCAATGTTAGGCCGTTCGCAATGCTGAGTTTCAAAATTGCTTTAAACTACTCGACAATTCTATAATTTTAAACTGTCAAAAATAAAACTGCAACACGATCAGCGCAACGCACAGTTCTAAAAGATGTTTGTAATCATCAAGTTCCATAAACATTACTGTTCTCTATGAAGTTCATAGAGTGTTTTTGTGAAACTCTTCGAAACATCTCTAAATACATCCAAAGAAATTTGAAACAGAGTTCCATTCGTGTTTCAATCTCGCTCAGAAATAAAACAGAATAGTCGAGCTGTTGCAAATCTGGTGCAACATAGTGCTCGAATAATGAAACTGCAACTTAGCATTGCTAGAGGTGCGGTTCTGTTCTAGTTTCAAATTGACACAGTCCTTGTAAAATACAACATCATTGCGAACGGCCTTGATACTTATATTTTAGAGCAACACTACCGAGGGTGCACAGAGTCTGGTTGGACACAAAATAATATCCAGAATAAAAATACATCCAAACTTAACTTGCAAATGACTGATGCCTATGACCATGTTCCCATGAAATCAAATCCTACATATTGACAAACAATAACAAAAGTTTGAAAATGTGCTGGGGTTGTAGAGAGTTAACAGACTCAATATTCAAGGTAATAATTAAAGAGAATTTTTTCAAAAAGACCAAAATGATCAGTCTTCTTGAACTTCTAAACAGGAAATTAAAAGCTGTTCATTTGCTCAGATTGCTGAAGGCTTATTGGACCGTGTTTTATTTTATTTTATTCACGTGTGAACATGTGTGGATATTACATTCGGGCAGCACATTTTGATCAATTAAGTAAGATTATAAATTAATAAAGCGTGACGCAACGATCAAAAATCCATATGCAACGTTAGATTCGACTGGTATGCTCTGCAATCTGTTGGAAGTGCTTTCCGCACGCTCATGCACTTCGTTGAGCTAAGGTGAGTCGCCTTTGGTTATGCAAGAAAGCGTTGTGGCTTAGCAAAGTAATAAATTTTGTTCCTACAAAGCCATCTAGATCATTTATGACGGAAAAGCTCCACTCGGATTAACTTGAACGCACGGATGATGAGATGAGCTCAAATTGAGTGGTTTTCACTCAAATTCGCAAAAATGTACACTCAAAAATAAATTAAATCAAAAATGCTTAAAACTAAGCAATTTCCCGCTTTGCCTTATTGAGTCAGAACTAAGATTAGTTTGCCAGTTATTATGCATGAATAAATTCGAAATAATCATGCAATGCTTACTTTTCAATGTTGAATTGATTAAATCGCAAATAATAGCTAATGATTAATATTTAATCTTATTTTTTTTTAACTTTATTTTTGAGATTTTTAGCCGTAGGCTAGTTCATTTCGTAACCTAATATTTAATCATTTCTTGGTTAAATTTCAAGATTTTCAGCAAAATTGAATTTTAATAATATAGAAATTAAGTTTGAATCATTTTATATTGCGTTTGTTGCTATGCAATGCTGCTCGTTCGAATCATGTCCGTATTACCCTTAAAGATAGCTTTGGGAACTGCTGGAAGTAATCCGGCGCAGGAAGTTTCGGAAGCTGATTCATTTGATGTTCATAACCAGAACTATCTTTTTTCTTTATATATCTATTTTAATACGTGTCTATGTTGTTTTCTCCTTTGAATTTTACTACAAGGTAGTTTTAATTCAAAGGAGAAAACAACGTAAAAAGGTATACAATTATTCTACTAAAATGCTCATCAAACAATTTATTCCTATTTTTAAGTTTTAAGTTCTTGTATGTGTTTGATTTTGGCGATGCGATTATCTGTTTAAAATCTCAACTTTTATTTTTGTTCATTGTTTTCTCCTCGGTTTTCTCTCTATTTGATCTTAGTAATGAAGATTTAATTGTCTCTCTTGAGACCTGTTCGTATACGCTTTACCATTCTTAAACTTCATGCCAAAAATCTCATCGACAAAGCTAAACAATCATGCTGAACTACAAAATCAAGGACAACTTTTATTATATTATTGTACGTCTAGGTCCAAGTCCACGTCCAAGTTCAGGTCAATGTCCATGTTCAAGTCCAAGCTACTTTTAATCGAATTAGATACCTTTCTGGAACTTTCATTTTAATTCGGCTAGATAATCTTAATTCTTTTCTTTTTTTGTAAAAATGGAAGGTCAATAGCATTCCAATTCTATTGAATGAAAATTTCGTTTTTATCACTGCATAAAAGTTCAACCTATTGCTAAAACAAATATTGTGATCTATCG